TATGAATAAGGTTTCAACCAATGTGTGACCAATAACTGATTAGATTGCCATAAAACTAAGATTTCATGTTGCTAAGGCAACAACACTTATTGACTTTGGAATGCTTTAACGGGTCATGCTTACAGAATAAAGGACTTCCTGTTCAGAAAGTTACTGAATTAATGTCGGTAAGATACAACTATTAGTCTCTTTTCTTCCTCTGGGTCTCCCAGTGAATTTTTAATTGAGCTTGCACCAATACTCTTTCATTCGAGTCTTTCAGACTACTGTATTTGGTCAAGGCAATCATACGAAAAGAATTAGATCATAGAAGTACAAAATATCCTTTCTATTAGATGACAAATGCATTCCAGATTAAATCTGTGGAATTAATGTTAATGTTAAAAAACTCTGGTCCTTTTCTCTTTAAATAACCATAACTGTAATGTTTTAGAACACAATTTCTTTCTGAGTGAATATATGCATGGTATCAATCTTGAAAAATTGGGATTTATTATACAGTATGTTTAAAGTTTAAAATTTTATATCTAAAATTTAATTTTACTCAAGAAAAAAAATATGCTATATAATTTATTAAGTAAGCATTTGTAACACAAGTTTAAATCTGATGTTTGTAATGTAGTATTTCCAGCAAGAATAATGTCAGTTGTATTGTTTACATTTACATGTACAGTACATTGCTGAAGTATTGTACTGTACACTGAGAAGTACTGTATTAAAAACACAGCGAATGATGATTGGATCCAATACAGTTTCTTGTGTTTTTAGTTCCTCTCAGTGTATTAATATTTTCAACCGCATGATTATTTACGAGTATGTTAAAGCTATGACCTTTCATGTCTTTTTCTGCCTCTACATGTTCTGTATTCAAGGCATTTAATCCTTTAACGTTTTTTTGGTGTGGAGAGGTGCTACTCCATCCACTGTATTAGATGGGCTGAGTAGCTTTCTCTTGTTTGTAACTTTTCTGTTGTTATTAACATAATTCTGTTAAAACCGAGACACTAAAATCCTTGATATATGACATGATGTTCAATATATGCCTGATTCCACATATACCTGTATAGAGAGAGCATCAAGAGCTAAAACACATCACTTTAGTCATGTATATATGTAGACAAATAAAATAAATGATTCTGCATGTTTATTAAATGGTTCTTGCATCATTTTAATTAATTGATGATTAGCTGTATTATACTCACATGACTTTGTTAGTTACAGTAAGCACTAAACCACCTCAGTAGATTTGACACACGTGATGATGATATAACCTGATGATATAGCCTGTTGAATGTCTACCTTGCAAATAAAGAAAGAAAACAGAAAAGGAGCTAATATTCCCTATTTACCAAGAGAACATTGTATTTGGTATGGTAGAGCCAAGTTCTCTTTAGAAATAAATCAGTTTTCTACATCGGTAAGTGTGGTGCAGATGTGCAGAACAGTTCACTGTTCTTCACAATCGCTCTGTTTAACAGGCCAATTGATAGGGAGCTCAATCTGGAAAGGATTGTCCTGGTACTCTAACAGTCCATCTAATAGCAGCTGGACAGAACGGCACTATATTGATCGAATCCTGGGACCTGACTTACTGCCCGTTGAGTGGGTTCAAACGGATGTGAAAACATTGCAGCAGGAAAATGCACATCCTTGTGCTGCTTGTGCTGCTGGTGTATTCTGGCTCATTATATCAAAATGTTACAGCAATGCTTTTGGTACCCGCTTGACAGACATGAGTCCCATTGAACCTTTGTGGAATGAGCTTGTAGACCTGTGTATCATGCTTGATACACAATCCCACAAGATAGCAACCTGCCACAAATCACAAGATGTAAACTTGTAGTGCTTCTAAAGTGAGCCACACATGCTACTAGCCTCTGACTTTCACAGTAGAGGCCCTGGTGATCATCCCTGTTAGTGAGAAATGTTAATTGCATAATACCTACTGTATGCGTTCACCTGCTCTGTGAATTTCAGTGGATGGAGTTATAAGTGGTTTTATTTTTGATGCTCAGCATGGAAATGTTTTCAGACTGTGTACTCTACAAGTTTAGTTTTATTTAAATGATTCACGTTTGAGTTCTGCTAGCAGTGTTATTGTCCTGTGGCCTGATCCAGTCAGGTCTCAAAAGCTGAACAAAAAAGGTCCAGGTCAGTACTGGACTGGGAGACCTGTAGAGAAACCCAGGTTGCTGCTGTAGGTGTGGCTGGTGAACCAGTGGATGGTGCTCTTCTGTTCAGTCTTGAATTTCAGAACTATTTCTCCAGCATGGTACTAGGAATATTGCTGGAGGACGTGCCATCCTTCCGATGAAATGTTAAACCATGGTTCTTCTGTAAGTACTTATCCCAAGTCATTTTTCAAAAGAGCAAGGATCTTGACTTCTGTATCCTGAATAAATTCCACTTTGTACTATCTGGACTACCTACAGTAGGTTCCGCTTTAATGCACTTTTTCACTTTGCCTGATTTGTTATGTAGCTGGGATGCTCGTGCGTAGTGGTTGCACATCACCTAGGTTAGTGCTACACTCCAGAGTTGGAGGAAGTGGTCCTCTCCCATGTGTTAAGGCCTTTGGAATCCTTCGGGATGAAAGACACTATAAATGCATTGGTATTATTATTTTTTATTATAATTGAGGTGTTCCTTCATTGTGATGAATTCATTAATCTAGCAATGATTACATTTATAGTACCTTGGAAAGACATAATGGATACAGCTTGTGCTCACCAAAGCTATGCAATACTTACTATATATTCCAGTAAGAAATTCCACTGCCTACAAACGTTTTATGATTTACTATGAAGTTCATGTTACCTTGGGTGCCCCCATCAAACTGAATAACTCTTCTGCATTTTAGGCATGTAACAGATCCCATTTAGTGGTAGCATAGCAGGGGACCTGCAAATGAAACCAACCCTGTAGTGGGAGATTTAACTGCCGAAGGGAACCACCCCAAAGTTACTATTCCTTCACTCCTTCCCTACCCTGTAGTCACCCATAAACACGCACAGTTAACTCCACTTCAGAAATGAGGAGCAGTGGAAATGCCTCACCCAGTCGACCCTGTTTAGGCCAGTCTCTTCTCTTCTTTCTCACAGGCTGGCTCACATGGCC